TTTTACCGGGCAACACAATACGTGAGATCTATACATGTACATGTGCGTACACACACATGGTTGGGCGTGGCTGACCACATACATGTGTACATGCCCATGTATGTACATGTACATTATGTACATTACATACTTACGTACATGTACGTGTACATTGGTGTGACAGTGCGGCGGTTCACACAGCACTGTGCGGAGGTGAAGATACTACGTCACAGGATGTATTGAAATTTTAAAACAAAAGGGCAGCTCTCATGATGGCAGCCGCATTGTAGGAAAATTCTTTTACCATTTCCTTGACAGATTTCAATGATGAAACAAAATGCTTCTCACAATAACAGTTGACTTTCTTCGAAAGGCCACAATAATTAAATCTGGGTGGAGTTTTCCCTCAACCCCTTAATGACGGGAATTTCTTTCCAAAAGCCGACTCCAAGAATTCCAGCCTTGTTTGGCCACGAAGGCCACCTGCCAAGCCGTAAATTCTCGGTTTGTGGCCCAGCGTGCTCTGCACGCTTTGAATTACACAGCGAAAAGGCTGATTGTTCAGTGGCATGTGGCTCTACTCACGCTTCCACATTCCCATTGCCTCTTTTCAAAGTGGGGACTATTGTGAAACTGGTGATTATGATGCAAATTCGGTCTTTTCATTTCTGGGTTACACTCAAACGCCAATCACCATATATACAAGAGCCAGGGTCTGCCTTCTTTCACCGTGTTCGCTCGAGCGTGGGTCAAAAATAATAGCTGAAAAGCAGCCTGAGGATCTCAATTTTTACGGCGGCTCTTACCGTCCCCCGGAGCAAATGGGTAATCCTCCTCAATAACTTTGTTGTACAATATTCATGTGATTTGCATTGCTACACTTTTGAGAGTGAAGGTTTTATGGTTGCATATATTCCATCATTAATGGGCTTTTGTGTGGGCAGCAATTGCCTGTATACCATAATGCATTTTGTTGTAAGGAAGCCAATAAAAATTTAATTACTGTCGTGCCTACTCACTCGACTTGCCTTTTAACTAAATTCAAGGATAATTTTGCTCAAGGTAAAGCAATGAGCATTGACTTGGGCATTTTGGTGGAAATACCTGAGTACTTGTTACATGTATGTTTGTTTTATTTTGTTTTGGTTTGTTTTTCCTTGCATAGGGGAAAGATTCATAGATTTGTGCGGTTGATAATATGATTTCTTCGTTTTGCTGTCTATTAGGGTTTGGGCCATTGCCCAACCCTGTTGTTTTTGTAAGAATTTTTTCTTACAAACTTTTTTCTGTCCGTTTGAAGTTGTGCACAGTTGTTACCATGTCATCGTGATGTCATCAGGTGTTAAATTACAAAGTTTTAAAGTTTGAAATGTTCAATCTTTGAAAATGCATAAAAAGTCAACTGTGATGTTCCTTGTCTTCATTTTGGTGGCAAGTGACAGAGTAAATTTAGGTCTTCATTTATTGTTCGGAATGTAAAATCATGTGACCCTTGCTTCCAGTCAAAACCAAAAGAACCTTCATATTTAAAAGTGGTAATAGATGCAAATGTGGTTCAACAGTGGTAATCTCTTGTCATATAGTATTCTTCAAACTTGGATTGGTGGCATCATGCAATATATGAGCGCCCTCTGGCAGAAGGTTGAAAAATAGAAAATGTATTTTGAGTTGATGGCTGTGGCAAGTTTTCTGGAATCATTTGAAAATCAGTAGATACAATGACCTTTATGCATTCAATGTATGTGCAAAACTTCCAAGTGATGAATAATACAAGAAGTTACAGTGAAAAGACTGTAAAATTTTCCAAAAATCAGTAAAATATCAATCCTGCCAGACATAATCTTAAATTTCCCATTCAATGATAGATTACATGTAGGCATTCATTGTCCAGAGTATTAGATTCTCCTTCATACACATGATCTGCCGATGATGAGAAATCCCTCACAGCAGTCCGTGGCTTCCCCCTCTGATGCTGGTAA